AGTGAAGATAAATAAATCGGCAATAAAAAGGTTTAGATTCGAAATTAAAAATAAAATGTTATTTTAAGTAATTATATAACTAAAATCATAATGTCATGGCTTAGCACACATAATCATCAAGAAAATCATGAATATGCTTTTAATATTAATGTTTAAGATGAAAAATCTTAAACAGGATAAAAACCTCCTTTCAAAGATTTATTATACGACCAAGTTAAAAAGTTTAAGAATGTTGGCATTGTCAGTTATTGACATTTATTTATAATACTTTATTTTCTGGGTTAACAATGGCAGATGATAGACACATCCAATGGCCAGGGACTCGACAGTTACGAGTTTATAACTCTAGCCAATCACATTGATTATGAAAAGTGGAACAATCACCAGAGAGGCGAATCAAACAATCCAGTATTCAGGGTCATGGGACAATTCCTCGGTTATCCGAATCTAATCACTCGAACTCATGAGTTCTTTGAAAAAAGTCTAATCTATTACAATGGGAGACCGGATCTGATGTTTGTTGCTGAAGGAACTCTATACAATAGGGACCCTTATAAGCCTGTTTGTTGGAACGGCCAAAAAGGAGGTTTAGAAGGACTCCGTCAGAAAGGTTGGAGTATTACTAATCTCTTAGTTATAAGAAGAGAGGGACGGGTCGAGAACACTAGAATTAGTATACTCGCACAAGGGGACAACCAAGTCATTTGTACTCAATACAAACTACAGAAGGTTCGGACTGACGATGAGTTAGATGAGTGTATACAGAAAATACTTAGAAACAACCAACGAATCATGGGCAACATCACGAAGGGAACAGAGAGACTAGGATTGATAATCAACCAGAGTGAGACAATCAGGTCAGCAGATTACCTCAATTATGGGAAGGTCCCAATATTCCGAGGGAAGATCATGGGGTTGGAATCAAAGAGGTGGTCCCGAGTGACTTGTGTGTCTAACGATCAACTTCCGACGATAGGTAACATAATGTCCACAGTCTCCTCAAATGCACTATCTGTTGGTTATTTCTCTGAATCTCCCACTAATGCAATTTCCCACTATAACTTCATCGGGAACCTAGCATTAGAAGTCTTGTCTTACCACAACCCTGCAACAAAGTGTGCAATAAATAAACGATTAGACGGCCACGAGGTAAAGTTTTACACTAGTTTGCAATACCGTATCCTGCTTTTATACTTAGGTAGATCCTTCTTTGGGAGGGATATGTGGAGTCTCATTAACCAGATTCTTAATCAGATCCTTTCCTGATCCATTGACAGAGGGATTATCATTCTGGAAGGGAATATTCCCATTCGTCGGTAGGGGGCTCCAAAGCCTTATTCATAAAATTGGGAATGCCCAACTATGTCCCTATAGCAGGTCTCATTTCCCTAAATTATTGGAAAACCCTCTTGCAATTAATCTCAAACATGGAGTCAATCCTGTCCAAGTTATCAAAGAAGAAATTAGGAAAAGCTTGATCAAGGGATGTAATAGAATACAAAATCATATAGTGAGGCATGCTGTAATGCATTCACGGGATGAGGAGCAACCTCTTTATGCCTTTCTGGAGTCTATTGTCCCTAGATTCCCCCGCTTCTTGAGTGAATATAAAGCTAGCACTTACCTAGGAATGACTGAAGGGTTAGTAGGATTGTTTCAAAACTCGAAAACAGTCAGAAACATCTTCTCATCACAGATGAAGAAAGAAATCGACAACATCATTATCTTGATCTGATCCAGGGAGTAAGATCATTGATAAGTATTGTTCAGGCAGGATTGTTACAACCAGAAACCTGCTGGACATGCTCTAGTGAACAAGCAGATATGCTTCGGAAACTTTCCTGGAGTGGGCCTGTGTTAGGCGCCACAATACCACACCCTTTTGAGATGATGAGAGTCCCTCATAGATCGACAGAATGCGGCCATACTACTGGTGGGAAACCCCACCTCTCTGTCTTGATACCCCGAGGAATGCCGGATCACAATGGTAGGAAGGGACCGTATAAAGCATATCTGGGGTCCAAAACAAAGGAGAGTACATCATTACTGAGGCCTTGGGAAAATAAAAGCAAAATCCCTCTCATTAGAAGGGCCGCATACCTCAGAAAGGCTTTTGGATGGTTTATTAACCAACATTCAAATCTAGGTCAATCAATCTTATCTAACTTACTTATATGCTCTAACAGGAGAAAAATGGGAAGATGATCAGCCGGAGAAAGTTCGATCTGGATCAGCTCTTCATAGGTTTAGTTGCTCACGACAGAGTCAAGGGGGTTACATTGCTCAGGCACCATTGTTTGGAACTTGGATGCTGGAGACTACTGACACAATGAGCCCTTTGGGATCTACTAATTATGACTTCCTATATCAGGCCCAACTGCTGTACAGCCAGATGACTGTAGGGGAAATACATAAAGGTAAGCCCTCAACTGCCATGTACCATTTCCATCTCGACTGCACTCATTGCTTAAGACCGATTGCAGACGTCAAACTAGATTCTGATTATATATACACACCCCCCTGTATCAGATGTACTTGAGTCATGGAAGCCAGAAGGAGTTAAATGGGTAACTAAACGTGCCAAACTAGACCTACCCAAAGGGAACTGGGACAGACTCGACAGAAATGAACAGTCATTTCACATTGGGAAAATTCAGGGATTCCTTTATGGTGAGATGACTTATAGGCATAGATATCTTCAGGAGGATGCTAGTCTATTCCCTCTTGTTTTACGAGAGAAGCTAAGTCCAAAACACTATATGAAAGGACTCCTCTACGGACTAATTCATGCCTCAGCAATTGCAGCGTTATACCGGAGATCTGTGCAAAATCTCAGAAGACCTGATGCTCTTCTATTGGGACAAGTCTTGTTCCTAATAGATAATATTAGTTGTAATAGTGGATTAATCAATGTCTGGAGAGGAGCAGGATTCCTGGAAGAATTTATCGTAATCCCTCATAGGATTCCTCCATCGTATCCTCTCAACAACCATGATCTCGGATCACTAGGACGGAATTACCTCAGGACTATATTCACGGAATTCAAACGAAATTACGGAAGTCTCCCTCGAACATATGAGGATCTATGGGTATTTAGTGATTTTATTGATTCTGACTTAATCATCCCATATGTAATAGCCAAAGACTCAATAAACTTGTTATACCTGAACAAAGTAACACCCCAAATTGTACCCAGAATTAGAGAGTTAAAAGAGTTACTGGGAAACGAGGATTCAGGAGAACAAAGTGATACAATGAATAATATTATGCAATTGCGGCGAGTTTATATGTTAGACCAAGAGTTGAGACATGCATTAAAGTCAATAGGGCCTATAGGATTAATCGGAGGATCGGTCAGAAGCTTGCAAGAAGCTGGATGGGGTCCTGAATATATCGGAGACATTATAACAATACCCATTTTATATGAGGCAAATCCACCACCAGCAGCAGAATTACCCGAAATTAATCACCGTCAAGACCCTCTTATATCCGGCCTAAGACTATTCCAATGTCCAACAGGGGCCCATTATAAACTTAGAACAATCATTGAGCGACTGAAAATAAACTTTCAAGACGTTTTGGTTGGAGGGGACGGATCAGGAATCATGGAATGACAAGTTGTCTCTTAAGAATGAATCCTATAGCCAGGGTAATCTTTAACAGCTTACTCGAGTTGAATGGGGTAGAGTTAAAAGGGTCTTCTCCATCTCCACCATCAGCCATTGCATGTATACCTGAAATCTGCCATAGATGTGTCAATTATCAAGACGTGTGGAAGGGACCTACTGATTTGTGCAAAGACGAAACATGGCTAAATTTCATTAACCTAAAGGAGACACATAATCTGTCTATAGACTGTCTATAGTCTTTGATGTAGAGACAAAAAATTCTGAAGATCTGTTATTGATTGAGCAACTTCTTAGTAAATACATTCATCGCCTCTTAGGAAGAAACGGGACGATCATATTTAAGACACATGTCGACAGGTTGCTTCAAACATGGGACAGAGGTTTGCTGACATTGGTAGGAGGATGTTTTAGTCAGGTCTCAGTGATACTCAGTACAATGTCATCATCAGGAACATCTAAAGTCTATGTAGTCACGAGACATCCAAAATCATCTGGTATCAACTGCAAACCTTCTATATGGTCATTGTTAAACTCACTGCACTTAATTCCGTCTCAGAGATCGTGCCTAGATGAATTTCGACGCGCGCTGGGCATACCAGTTGATAAGTTGTTCGATGGGGTACCTAGGTCAATGATTCCTGATCCTAACACTCCATTACCGCTTACCGGTACCTACCGCGTCGTCGCGTGCGCTTAAGGTTGTTTTATTAGGCGAATGTGACATCTGTGATGTAAATGTCAGTGTCAAGCTGACAAATATAATGAATCTGCATGTTTAGTTCAGGAGATTTATTTATTGTACGAATAATTTTTGTTATTTTAATTTTGAATTGTATATATATATTCTTTTACTGTTTTCTATTATTATTATTAAATGTAATATTTTATTAGTCACGGGTAAGTGCTGAAAATCAGCGCCGTGACCCGAGCACACTCGTGTCACGGCATTTAAGCTGAGCTCTTGCCTTTTTGCGCCGTCTTACTGTATTGTTTCTTATTTTATTTCCTTGTGTCAGTGTGCAAATAAAAAAAATTTTCTTTCTTTCAACTCTGTGTATTACTCATATCGATAGGTGTAGAATCCGGAGGCAGAGTTATGGAGGCAGAGTACCAGGGAGCAACAGATGGTCTTGCCATATTATACTTTATCCACTGTCTTAAATTCGCTACTACAATTGACCCGAGGGGATAAGGACTTAACTGTCAGTCCAGATCGAGTGGTATACAATGTGGGAGGTTTCCTTACCGGATTCTTAAATTGGCTCGCATGGATTTACTCACTGTTATAAATTGAAGGCTTTGGCCCAATCTTATGTGGACAACTGCTTTTTGTTCTCCTGGCAACCATTCCGTACAAGTAAGGGGTTATTCATGAAGAGAGTCTCATTTTTGGGCAAGTATCATTATAACAAGAATGTTTACCTAGACTCCAAAATGGCATTGATTGGCTCAGTAATTAGAGTATTTACCAGGTTAATGAGCATGGCAATTGATCATTTGATTAAGGCCGAGAATATTGGAAATAATCTCAATTTCATCAGGAAGATGACTGACATCCTATGTGTACTGGATCCGAGAACACCTTTACCTTATAAGGCTCAACCCTTCATAGGAGTTACTCTGACGAGGAGACCAGAAGCCGCATGGACTCAGGATCGTATGTAGGGATTGGGTCTATTAATCTATTAATCATAAAATAATAATGACAACCAAATTTAATCGTATTATATTAGTTCAGTCAGTTAAAAAAATTTAAATGTCTACATGAGAAATTCATGTTATGATGATTAACAATATATTTTTGAAAGAATTTATCTTATCTGTAAATGTTGTTGTATGAATACCTCTAGATGTGAAAGAATAGCGAAAATATGTACTAGCAATACTTAAGTTCATTTTACTAGCGGTGATATTAGTTTTAAAATAAAACATTACACATGAAACATTTATGTACAATACATAAGGTATTCAAATAAGTATTTGATTACCCTAAATGTTACTAACTCTCATAGACATATAAAATATATAGGTTCGTGTTAACAAACTATTTGAGCTGACTGTACATTGATTTTATATCGTCATTGAAGTGGTTTCTTTGGTGACCTACGTGTTGCCCACACGAAGAAACCGTGATAAAACGAAGACTTGCAATTACTTTCATTGATTTTTTAATAAAATTTAACCCAAACGAAAATCAAACGATAACTATTTTGGTTTCGTCGAAATGACATTAAACGTCCGAAGAATAATCTGTCAAACTCGAATTTTCGTTCGTGCGGATTGTACAATAAGAGTAGGTTTCCGAAAATTTCGACGTCAAACAGTACATCTCACACTAATTTCTGGCTTGTTCATTCATTTTTCGTTCGTTTTTATGTCATTGTGGTAGGTAATCTTTGAAGTTTCGTCCGAAACTTCGTTTTTCGTCGAATCAGAGTAGACCTCCTGATATCTCATAAAGAAACGCAGATTATTAACACAACATCGATGTATAAGAACGTTTCAGACATGTCGTAATTGAAATAAATTTTGGAAGGACTTTCCTTTAGATATCGCATTCTCTTTATCTTCAGCCACTTCACTTGATTTTTATTACAATCTTTTCAGCGATTGAATACTGTTTCATCAGATAATTTTTTTAAATCATAAAATTCGTCAAATTTAAATTCTTTAGTTTTATAGGGCATTTTCTTGACAGTGTTACCTCCAACAGTTACTGTACTTGTCGATCTTGCTCGTTTAAAAATTGATAAATAATCGATGCAGTAAATCTCACAGTTTTTCTTTGCTGTCTCGATACTGCTATGCATACTATCCACTTCCATGTAGCTATGTCCTGATTCAAGAAACTTGTGTTCAATTTTTTGTAGGTAAGAAATATTTTGTACTGCAAATAAAAGCAATGCAGCAACGAATTGATTTCGATTTTGCCCTCCACACGTATCAGAATACAGGCAAACTTCGGTTGTATGAGAGGGAAGGCATTTCGAAAGATAGTGATATAGGATACTTCCTATTTCGGAACTGCCTCTTTTCCCATTAATTTCCGACCAAGCAAAGCAATATGCGTCATTTGGCAACGCTGCTTCATAAATACATAGATTATAAACACATAGTTTTCGACAATAATAAAGCTGCCCCACCAGCCCAGAAGGTATCTGTATTCTGTAACACAGCTTGTAAGTCAAATGTTATACAGAAAAACTCTTCATCTTTCTGTGCCCTTTCTTTGTCCTTCGCTTTTTCTGAATTACAGAACTCTTTCCTTGCTAAGTGGTCCTCATACTCCCCTCTTAGCACTACTTTTTCGTCATTACTAGCTTTGTTGAAATTAGAGCATAATAAACATTGATCCTTTTTTGGAACAAAAAAACTAAAATTATAATGGTTACAAAATATTCTCCTGTACGTTATTTCAGAAACCGGACACATATTATTTTCAGTGCACTTTTCTTTATGAAGTTGATACATTTTCGAGATAGATAACGTTGCATCTAGATTACAACGCTTCGAAGTTCGCCTTATGCAGTGTGGCTGCATGACAGGAAAGGACTCGTATGTGGTTTTTCACAAAGTTTACATCTGCTTATATAGTCTTATTAGGGGGTTCATGTTTACCTCTCTTGTCGTTATCTTCGTACACACTAATATTGTTCCGCTTATGAATAGCATCATTCACAACAGTCTGAGAAATTTCGTACATTAAAATTTATTTAAGGGCCAAAATACCCCTGAGAATTTTTCAGCCACAGTATGAACATAATCGTTCGAAAATTTAACAGGTAGATTATTTAGCTTACCTATAATTCAGTTGCACTTGCTACCATTTGACCAACGAGACAGTCAATTAGTCAAAATTCTAAATTTCTAAAGAACCTAATCAGCAAGAGGATGTCCTCCAAAAACCGGACCAGGATTTCGACCATTGAGAAATCTCGGTCCATTTATTTCTAATTTTAGCTACATGATCACAAACACTCTTAATTATTGCAGTATCTACTACGTTTGGATGATTACAGTGTTAACCCCTATTGTCCGTTAATGTAATCCCTTCTTGGCTCAATTTACTATGAGCAGTGCGCACAAATTGATCAGTAATACATAAAGTATTTAAAAATGTTTTAAGACAAACCTATTGAGGTGTGGGGAGCTAGTGTAAAATAAAACAATACGTCTGTCTCGTTTCACGGTGCTCTTTAATCTGACCCACTAACTACTAACTACTATAAGGTATACCCCACTTCACCTCCGGGGTAAAAGAAAAAAAAATTAAATTTAAAGATTACATTTTTTTTTTGAACTTACAGTTAATTGCCAAACATAAATGTTAAATGCTAAATCCTTAATCATGTAAAGATTAAATGTACTTAAATTAAGTTTACATAATAAAATTTATTTATCTTTAACAAATAATTTTGTTCTATTTTTGTGAACAACATCAATTTTTCCATTTTTCATGATTTTTACATTTGGTTCTTGTTCTTCTATTACAATATATGGGCCGTCATATAAAGGTTTTAATTTATTTCCTGTTTCATTTTTTACTAACAACATATCATTTGGATTATACTTTATTTGATTTACAGTTTTATCATAAATTTGTTTTCTTTTCTCTTTACACTTTAACAAGTTTTCTCTGGCATCTCTATTAGCTACTTGTAACCTGTATTTTAATTCTAAACTGTAGTTATCAGGATTGTACAATGGTTCTATATTAGAAAAAATTCTACTTGGTATTTCACAGGGTTTACCAAAAACTAATTCGTACGGGGCATATTTTGTACTAGAGTGAACTGTATTATTATATGTGAAGCACCAAAATGGTAGCCATTGGCTCCATGTTTCTGGATGATTATCGCACTGTAGTCGTAAAAATGAACCTAGATGTTTATGTACATTTTCAAGTGAACCTATGGTTTGGTGATGGTATGCGGTAGAGTTTAGTTTTTCTATGTTAAGTAATTTACATACCTGTTCCATTGTTTCCGAGATGAATTCTGTGCCACGATCTGTAGTGATTGTTTTGGGAATCCCAAACCTTAAAATGAAATTGTTCACAAAACTTTTAGCTATACTTACGGTTTCCTTATTTTTAAGAGGATAAGCCTCAACAAACTTGCTTAACTCGCATTGAATTGTTAATATGTACTTATTATTTTCTAAATCTATATCTAATGGGCCTACTACATCTAAGAATACCTTTTCTAAAGCATAACTTGCTGTGGTTGTAATAACCATTGGTTCTCTAACATATCTGGAATGTTTCATTTTCTGACATTTCTCACACTTTTGGATGAAGTTCTTGACGTCATTTTCGATTCCTGGCCAGTAAAATTTACGTTTTTATTATTAATCATTCTGCGTACCCCAGCGTGTCCGCTTGTTGGTAGCAGATGATAGTCATTAATAATAAAATTCTTTTCCTCGTCATTGTCTATTCTTTTTATTCCTCTTAAAATACAAATGCGTGGTCCGGACCACTGGTCTATTCCTTTTATTCCTTTTACAATATTTTTTATGAATAACGCGTTATCATCTTTTTTTATAATACAAATCTCTTTTATTCCTAATTTTTCACATATTTTTCTCAATTTTCCACAAAAACGTCTCGCGTGTAATGTGCTTTAAAATCGAGATTAACATATAATATATTTTTATTGGCTATAAATGCGAAACATTCTGATTCGACATCTACGCTTTTATTCTCTTTCATTTTCTTTAATTCTTCACCTTTCACTAAACTTAACTCGACTGCACCACTCGGTATCTAAGTATTTCCACAACTTTTGGTTGATCAGGCCAATCGTCTAGGCGAATACTTGGGATACCGCTTTTCACACTATCATTCTCACTTTCCTCCCCTTTCTCAGATTCTCTTATTCTTCTAGCTTGCGCTCTTGTTGTTACTGCTATTATTTTATCATTCATATCTTTTAAATCTTGTGAAGTTACACTTATTCGTGACAAAGCATCAGCTAGTACATTTTCTTTACCTTTGACATATGTTATTTTGAAGTCATACTCTTCTAGGGCTAATCGAAATTTCAGAAGTCTACTGGACGGATCTTTCATTCCAAACAGGTATATCAAAGGTTTATGATCTGTCATTATAGTGAAAGTACGTCCGAATAGGTATGGTCTGAAATATTTTACACTCCAAACTATTGCGAGAAGCTCTTTTTGTATTGTCGGATAATTTAGTTCTGCTTTATTCAAAGGCCTGCTAGTATAAGCTACTGGTTTCATGTCACTGTTACAAAGTACTGAGCCTATCGCTGTTCCAGAAGCATCGGTTTGTAATATAAATTCGTTCGAAAAATCTGGGTATGTTAAAATGGGTGGTGAAATAAGAGTATTTTTCAAAAAATTAAATGAATTCTCACATTGCTCCGTCCATTCAAATTTAGTATTTTTCCTACATAGTTTATTTAAACAATTGGTTATTTCTGCAAAATGTTTTATGAATTTTCTATAATAATTACACATAGCAACAAAACGTCTGACTTCATCAACATTAGTTGGTCTTGAGTAATTTTTTATACATTTAACTTTTTCTGGATCAGGGCGGATCCCTCCAGAAGATATTGTGTGACCTAGATACAATAATTCTGTTTTTAAAAATTGACATTTACTCGGATTTAATTTAAGATTGACTTTACGTAAACGTTCAAAAATTTCAATTAGGTTTTTATTATGTGATTCCAAATTTCTGCCAAAACAAATGCAATCATCTAAATATATAAAACAATTTATATAGTTTAGTCCTGACATAGCAATAGACATTGTCCTAGAGAAGGCACTGGGGCTCGTTTTTAAACCCATTGGTAGGCGCTTCATCTGGTATTGTCCTGTACTTGTGGTAAATGATGTAATTGGTCTAGACTCTGGTTTTAATGAACATTGGTAATAAGATTGACTAAGGTCTAAATGTGAGTAGTATATAGCACCTGATAACGAGTCTAAAATGTCGGTAATATTTGGTAATGGGAATTTGTCATCTTGAATTACCTCATTTAATTTTCTGTAATCGATCACTAAACGCCACTTTTTAATTTTCTCATTATCTGACTTTTTAGGAACTAATAATATCGGACTGGACCATTCACTTTGTGATGGTTCAATTATGTCATCGTCTAACATTTGTTTAATCTGATTTTCTATTTCCGGTTTTAAACTATGTGGTAATCTGTATGGTTTGGTATATACTGGACTTACATTTTGTTTTAAATGAATCGTTTGTTCCTCTAAGTTAGTAGTAGTAAGCTTATCGCCGGGTAAATGAAATATGTCGGTATATTTAGAACAAATACTCTCTATACTGTTTCGTTCGCTTGTACCTAAGTGATCAAGTTTCAAGGTTTGCAACAATGTTGTTGCTCGTGTGGGATTAGAGTCACATTTATTAAACGAGCATACATTGTATTGTTTTAAAGGTAATAATTCAGGTTGAAAAACTGAAATAACTATATCTTTATCGCTGGTATTCATTAGCCTGATAGGTATTATGTTATTTTTTGGTTTTACTATCAACCCAGCCAAAAATAAATTTTCTTGTAACTCCTTCTGCACAATCACACTGTCTTCTCTCACATCTGAGGTTAGCTTTATGTAATGAATAGTTTCGCATCGTGCTGGTATTGTTATATATGCAGTACACAATTTGGGTGAGGTATGTAAAGGCAATATGCTTTGTTTTTCTTTTGTTAAAGTTAATATATTTTTCTCTAAATTAATAGTAGAATTAAAATTGTTCAAAAAGTCTAAACCTATAATTCCGTCAGATTTACAAGGTAAATTGTCAAATAAATAAAATTTATGTTCATAAAATGTTTCATCGGAAGCCTGCAAAGTTAAATAAACATATCCTTCTGAGTACGTCTTACCACCTATACCGTTTATAACTATAGGGTCTCTATGTACAGGTATCCGTTCCGATAAGAAATTACTGCGAATTGCTGATATGTATTTTAACTGCAAGAATATGTATTTTACATTATTGTCACAATTAAAAATATAATGTTTAGGTCCGAAAAAACTGATTCGATTCAGTAGCTTCTTGTTCTTGTGGGTTTTCGACTTGTGCTGAACAAACTGGTCGATTATTACTCCTACTACTGGAACCTCGACTACGATTCGAATTTACAAAATTACCACGATACTGCCGTGCTGGTCGGGAATTATTATATCTCCAGTTATGATTATTTAAGTACTTACCTCTCTGGTTATAGTTGTAATTATTTTGTCCTCGATTCGAATTGTAATGTCCTCTGTTCATTCGACCTACAGGCGGGCGACTTATCCGTGAAGACCTATAGTAATTAAATTGGTTACCTCGCCTTTGCGTTGCATTAAAAATGTTGTTGGAGGACGAAGGCTGTCCCAGCTCTTCATCCTCGGCCGCACGCACCGCGTCCTTCAGCTGCGAGTAGTCCCTGGCTGATATGATCGTGCTTAGCCGCCTGTTACGCAAGCCATCTGCAAACCTTTTAATTGCAAGTTTTTCATTTATAGGTCTCAAAATCTCACTTGCTTTGGGGTTT